CGAGGAAACAGTCACCTGAGAGCCAACAGAGCCCCTAACCGGACATGACCGCTACCCCGGGTTGAGCCCCCCAAGGAAGAAGAGAAGAAGAAAGGAAGAAGAGCCCCCCCACCTGCTGTGTCTGAGGGACTAGTCTTGCTGGTTTTTTGCGACGAGATCTCCCTGGAGTGTTAACCTTATCCGGGTAATCCGGGGAGTTGCTGGGGTTTTTGCTTCAGGCTGAGTTGGCTTCTGGGTGCTCGTCCCACACGTTTTATCCCTGGTTTCCCTGCACCTCCTCCTGAAGCACATGGGGAGTTCTGACCATCAACCCCAAAATGGGTGCAAATATCCATACCTGACTCAGTGAAATGAATGTCTAAATCTCAAACGTGCGTATTGTGGGGTGGAAGATCAGAATGCTACTATTAACCAATCTCCTAGCTTACTCACCTTTTTTTTTTGTAACCTGAACGTATGTCCCTCGAGCCTATAACAGGTAATCTAAACTGCTGGCCCCAAGTATAATATCTACAATATCTTAATCTAGGGCTTATATATCAAAAATCTTAGATCTAATGGCCTTCCAGTTCAGAATTAGCACAGGTTCACTCAGATTCACGCTCACTGATCTACTAGGTTTGGGAAGGAGATTAGCAGTGGCAGACTCTGTAAGAGTAAAGAAGACCTCCAACCCACACAACACACTGTACCATAGTCTCTGAGAGATATGTAAAGATCTACTGTATGTAAATATCCACAATGCGCAACTATATTAAAAAAAAGTTATTTAATTCTGGCCTTGCTTGTTCTGCTTCCCTTGCTTTATTTATTATTTAAAACTACAAAACATACAGATCTTATTATGGAATAAAATTTGAAAAACAAAATTGGAAATAAGTTATTTGACTCAATTTTGTGAAAAGAAATCTTTTGTTAACCATCCGTGTGACTACTTGTCTCATATCTTTGTATATTGTTATATAATATTTTCATCATAATTATGTTCTCAAGAATATAAGATTGGATGAAGAGTTGAATGTTACTGGTATAATATTTTTTATTATCTTACCAAAATTTGCAGAAACACTAACAAATCCCAGAGATTTAAGCCTACAGTGTTTGATTAACATGTTTGCACGACAGCAGTAAAGTTTTCTTAATAAGATCCACAGAGATTAAAAACACTCATAAGACCATTCAACTGATCGCAACCATTTACATTCACAGATGTGGACTGAGATAGAGGACTTTCTGGTATCTCATACGTATAAAATTGATATAGTCTTCTCTTGATTTCTCAGTCTGTTTATACAGTCTGTCATATTGCTTGTGGATTTAAATTGTTTGAATATAGCAATGGATGATGAATTAAATATAACACATATAACCATTGATGGTTATGTTGATCTTAAGAGATTCGGATATCTATATTTTTTAATTATGGTTGCACTTTATGTTTTAATAATTATAAGTAATTCAGTGATTGTCTTCCTAATCTGCATTCATCACAATCTCCATGAACCCATGTACATTTTTATTGCAGCTTTGTCAGTGAACTCTGTTCTCCTGAGCACTGTGACCTACCCAAAACTCTTTGTTGATGTGTTATCTGAAAAACAGATTATTTCTATTTCAGCATGTCGATTTCAGCACTTCATGTGTTACTCAATAGCTGGTTCTGATTTCTTACTGTTATCAGCAATGGCATTTGACAGATATGTGTCTATATGTAAGCCTTTAAAGTATCCAGTCATCATGAGACAAACAACCATCAATACTTTGCTATTCTTATCTTGGTTTGTGCCTGGTCTTCAAATTGCAGTGTTGCATACATTAGTTCTTAATAATAAACTCTGTAATTTCACTTTGAAAGGAATCCTTTGCAATAATTCATTGTGGAAACTTTACTGTGAGAGCCCACGAGCAACATTAATTTATGGTTTAGTTGTGATGCTAAGTGTTGTTATTTTTCCTGTGTTTTTCATACTTTTCACCTATGCAAAGATTTTTCTAATAACCTACAGAAGCAGTAGAGCTATCCAGAAAAAGGCAGCAGAGACCTGCTTACCTCACCTGTTTGTTTTAAGCATTTTTACTACTTTGTGTGCATATGATGTCATTATAGGTCGATTAGAACTAGATTTTCCAAAAACTGCACAATTAATAATGACTTTGCAAGTGATTTTTTATAACCCTCTCTTAAATCCGTTTATATATGGTCTGAAAATGAAAGAAATCTCTAAACACCTAAAAAGGTTGTTTTGTCATGTCAGGTGTAGCTAAGTTATAATAATTTCTCATGTCATTGTGAGACAGTAAAAAGTGACTTTTCTATTTTTCCATCTTGTATTCTATCAAAATTTGGTAGTACTCTTCTGCTAACAGTGATTTTAATTACAGTAGTTTCCTAATGCCTCAGTGTAAAGATGATGTAGAGAGACTTATAAAAAAAACTGTTGGGGTGAGGATTACTAGAGTTTAAATTATTTTTAGCAACAATTAAAATGTTTTTTTTTTTATGTCTGATCAAAATTTTACTGATTTACAACAGGGTTCGGGAGCGGGAGTGAGGGTACAGACATATTCAGCATCATTATAAACTGCAATAACAATGCAACTTTGGCAACAAAGCAAAGAAGAATAGAAGAAAAAAAAAACAGAGGAAGAACAAATAATAATACGTACACAAAGTTACAATAAGTTATTGCCTCTGCCAACACATAATGTTGGATGGGAAGATTTTCCAGGCTTTGACAGATGTGGGTCGAGCCTTATTAAATCTTGCAATGGTATGTTTGAAATTAACGATACAGCGAAGACATTGTACCCAGAATGATTTCATACAAATGTCAGGACTGAACCAGTGCTTTGTAATTGTCTTTTTTACGGATGTGAATCCAGCAAACAGCATTTTGCATTGGATTTGTTTGAATAAGATGTCAGAGGTATCATTAAGGAGGCAAAGACCAGGATTAGAAAACTTAAATCTGATGTACTTAAAAAACTTTAGTACATCAGATAACACAAAGTTTACATAGACCCAAAAGTCAGATATACCTGGACTGTTCCGAAGTATGTGTAGAAATGTGGCTGGTGATGAATTGTTGCATATGTGACAGTAATATGTAGCCTGTAGTTTCATCTGAAAACTCTTACAGGGTGTAATAAATGTATTGTGGATGGTTTTGAAATGAATTAGTTCATAAGCAAAGTTCTGTGGATCAGGGAAATTATTTTACTGCTATTGTTAAATAATCATCATCATTACCATTGCATTAATAATATAATTTACAG